CAACCTCCCCTATCTAGGAGAAAAATAAAGAACTCGAGTGGCGATTTGGCACGTCGATGCATTAGTATTTTTTAAAAATTATATCTGAAATAGCGCGGGTCGGGTGACATCAAAATAAAGCCGTCCACGTCGCAAGGCCGGACACAAAACTTGTTCAAGAAGGTTGTATTACTTTGTTATCGTTCTATATCTTATTAAGCCACCAGATTTTCGATATTAAAAAAAAGAAATGTTTGGTTAAAAATACTATTTGCTCTACTGTTATTTGCATGCATTGAAAACATACTAAAACATGCACGCATCGTCTGTCTGCGTAAAAATCTGTAGTCAACGCGGTTCAACTTGAAGTAACAGCGGCGCCGGCCCTTCGGAAACCTAAAGTCTCACACCGAAGATCGGGGTTGCGGGAGAGGATTTCGTACCGCGGGATATCCCGATAAATCCCGCAGGAGATCCCGCAAACTCCCGCAGGAGATCCCGCAAACTCCCGCGGGAGATCCCGCAAACTCCCGCGTGATATCCCGCAAACTCCCGCGGGATCTCCCGCGGGACTTGATGCTTATCCCGAGATCTGTACTGTACCTTTAGGTTTTTTTTTCGCCCTGTCGCTTCATATTTTTTATGAAAAAATCCAAGAACCAACAAATTAAATTGATGTAGCCTTACCACTTGTGTGATGTCGTGACCTGTCCTCTTCCTACTATGACTTAATGATGCCGCTCCGTGACAGAAAAGCTGACAAATTTACTGGCCTTACTTTTGGAAATGATGGTTTTAATCATAGAGTTTGTAGCAGGTACAGAAGCGCCACAGACCAAGATAGGGCTGCGTACCTTTTCGTAACATCAGGTACAGGTACAGGTACAGAGGTTTAGGTCCAGGTCCGGACCTGTACCTGTACCTGAAAATTCATGCGCGTCACGTGTTCTACTGAAATTCTTCAATAATGACAAACATGAATAAAGTGTTGACAATTTGTCCTGTATCTTTCAAAGAACATCAAATATAACCATGGATGATATAACTAGGTTTCCTATCTCACTTCTCACTAGTTCTGAGAGAGGGAAACTAAGGTAAATCTCTTTATTTTAACGCTGGATGTTCATTTTCCTGGCAGGCATCCTTGTGTGTAGTGATCAAGTTGGAATTTTTCTTCTGGTCCAGAAAACCGGTCCACCGACGTTTCGTTTTTTTCGGACCGGACCGATACTATTTTTCCGGTCCGTACCAGTCCACCTGAACCGGTACGCAGCCCTATACCAAGACATTTAGTCATGTAATTGCTGATTCTACCAGATCTGAGTCTGGGATAATTTCTGCATCGACCAATCAGAAGGCTCCATTTTAGTCCGGCAGAAAGTCAAATTTTATAAGGAACAATTCAATCATTAGTTAAAGCAAACGTTAACTGCCATGGTTACCTGGTAAATGCCAGAAATTAGTATATTCGAAGTACATTAGGTCATGTGAGATATATCATACATTTGTACCTATTCTTTTTCTCCTTTAATTGCAGTATACTAGTAATTGAGTGACACCAATTACATCTAATTCATTATGAGCTGACAACAACATTGCTTCAAACAGGAAAAGCTCAGACAAATACAGTACAAATGTAGCCTGCCAACTTTATTTATTGCAAAATGCATCATAATGATTAGGACATCCATGCTGTATACAACATCTGGAAAGTTGCTACACTTTATTGGCAATTAGACTTCAAGTTGTAAGATTATAATGTGTCAAAAATACTGCATTCATCAATATGGCATTCTTACATATTTGCCATGAAGACCGTCTCACTATGCTGCTACATCAGTACATGGTCCCAAAATTGGCTTCTTGTACCTGCAGAAAATGCCTTTTGCCTCATCTTTGCTGTATTAATATTGCACATGCATATTTTCTCCAACTTACATATACTTATTAATATACACAGACATTTGTAGATCACACCTGATTGAGTCTTCGCTCAGCTAACAATACTTGTACAACTAGTCACATCATAATAATATTGTAACACTTCTACATGTACACTACAATACGTGCATGAAGCTGGTAAATTGACTGCACATCTTCAGAACCTCAATACATGTACATGTAGTACAGGAACAATGATAGGTAATTTTTCATATGCCTGCAGTAGGACCTGATCCATGACTACACAAATTTCTCATCATCTACAAACAGGAAGATATAAAACAGAACAATTAGCCTGTATGTACATGTATACCTGTACAAGTCAAGAGGATATTTGTTCACAATATAGTAATACAAATAAAATTTATTTTGTATTTGATGCTACGGCAAATTATCACAAACACAATTCAATTCCTAAAAAAAACTCAGAAATTATTTAAAAAAGCAACACTTTTTCCCAACAGGTCAATATCCTTCAAATGTTAAAATATAACATACATGTACCCCTAATTAGTATCCCTCCTATCAGGCTTGCATATGAGTGAGGATGAGGCAAGCTTGTGCTTACTACCTTCCTGTTATTTTGTTCAAGCAATGCAAGCAATTGTTGGAATATCTTAATAAAAGCACTTCAGCACACATGATCTGTCAGGTTCCAACCTTGGACTGGTTACTCTATGTTCATAATTTCCCTGCCTACACATCATAAGGTATATAGAATTCATTAAATCAGATTTCAATATCAAAGTTCCTTACAACACCATTTTGACAACTTCATCACACAACACTTAACATTTGTACTGTACAGGAAGTAGTGACTACTCTCACAGCTTAGCTGGTTTTCTCTTTGGACCATTTGATCATAGTTTCTGGGGATCGGTACAAGAAGATCAGTTTGGAAAAGAGGTCTTCTTCCAAAGACAACTCTCCAGTCTCCCGCACCAGAAATATGTCTAGGCAAAGCTTCAGGATGCGATCCACGTTGGGCATTTCTGTGAACATGATGCGGTAGGAGATTCCACTCACAAACATTCGAACAAACTTGCCCACAACCAGCACAAGAGACAGGTACAGACCTACAATTCTGGAGGAAAAGCAAAACAAGTTTTTAATTAGTTCTGTACACATGCACAATTAGTTCCCTTGCTTGTATTTCATGCTATCCGTGATCTACTTTCAATTTTTTTTCAAATCTTCAATTCTAATTTCATGTAATTTCATTAATGGCTCCTTTTCATTTTTTTGCACTTTCTTACACTGTCTTAGAGGGAGCAGTCTTGGGAGCAAACTAAGTACAGGTCTGTTTGCGTGTGTAGAAAGTTCTCAGCACCAAGTACAGGTCTGTTTGCATGTGTAGAAAGTTTCCAGCACCAAGGACAGGTCTGTTTGCATGTGTAGAAAGTTTTCAGCACCAAGGACAGGTCTGTTTGCATGTGTAGAAAGTTTTCAACACCAAGGACAGGTCTGTTTGCATGTGTAGAAAGTTTCCAGCACCAAGGACAGGTCTGTTTGCATGTGTAGAAAGTTTCCAGCACCAAGGACAGGTCTGTTTGCATGTGTAGAAAGTTTTCAGCACCAAGGACAGGTCTGTTTGCATGTGTAGAAAGTTTTCAGCACCAAGGACAGGTCTGTTTGCATGTGTAGAAAGTTTTCAGCACCAAGGACAGGTCTGTTTGCTGCATGTGTAGAAAGTTTTCAGCACCAAGGACAGGTCTGTTTGCATGTGTAGAAAGTTTCCAACACCAAGTACAGGTCTGTTTGCATGTTTAGCTAGTTTCCAACACCAAGGACAGGTCTGTTTGCATGTGTAGAAAGTTTTCAGCACCAAGGTCAAGTCTGTTTGCATGTGTAGAAAGTTCTCAGCATCAAGGACAGGTCTGTTTGCATGTGTAGAAAGTTTTCAGCATCAAGGACAGGTCTGTTTTCATGTGTAGAAAGTTTTCATCATAGTTACATGTATAATCTCAAAGCAGAATAATGTTTGTAGCATTTTAGTAGTGCCAATTTTTTGCAGCATTTTTCAAGTTGTGCACTTTTCTAGTACATCTGCATGGAGATAACCACAGAGCTGAAATCTGCAGATACTGACACCATGTACATGTAGTTTACAGTCATTTGGCCAACATCAAAATTTCAGGTGATTTGCCGCATCTTTTATTAAGTTACAGAATTGAATGGAACAAGTGACAGCTATGGTATATTCTCAACTAGAGAAGTAACATTTGCAAAGCAACTGTATAATGTTTACCTTCGGATAAGGTCTGCCCTGTTAATTCTTACTCATTCACATACATGTACTACTAGTATAAGGTGACAGGAGCACAGCAGACCATGAAATTGCAACATTATGTAACCCAACACCAGTCACCATGGTGACAGACGTTAACAAATCATGTCATTGGTCAGGTCAGAGGTCACTGTTTGGAGAAGAAGAAGAAGAGGAAGAAACTGAGCAAAAACAATATGTTTTCCTTTGGTAAACATAAATATGGCAGGTTAAGACCTGGGGAGGCATGAACACAGGGAACAGTGATTCTACATGAAGGTGTTGTTATATATAATAACTTACCCATATCCAGCCAAGAAGGAGAATTCAGGTGGGCTGACTTTGTCATTAAAGGTGATCATCTCCATGTAGGGCATACTCCTCCTGTCTGCCCCCACCCCCACCAGCTCCTGTACCGTCCACCACTCCACCTCCCCCTCCAGCTCCTCCGTCACCCGGCTGTGGTTCAGGCGCACCGTCACGTTACTGAAGTCCAGACGATTCCCTGTAACAACACCAAAGGAAAGCAAATGTGGGGTAGTTCTCCATATACAGTGTCAAGGACAGACTTCCAAGGGCCCGTGTAAGGAAACCTATATTGGAGAGACTGAAAGATCCCTCAAGGCTAGGTTCTTAGAAATCAATACAAACGACCTAGTTCGACTACATGTACTTCGGAGGTCTCACAACATATACGCATATAATTGCCTGGTCATTCAGTCTCACTGGACAAAGTAAGAATCTTGGACTCAGAACCGGACTTCTTTGCACGAGGGATTAAAGAGGCCATCTACATCAGGGCATTACAACCATCCCTCAACAGAGAAGGGGGGCGCCACAGACTTTCTGCAACCTATGATCCACTGCTCACAGAGTCACATGTGTTATCTGTGTGACGTCACGGAAGCGGTGGATTGTTCATTCCTTGAAAAAAGACTGGAGTTGTACGGTCAAAAATTTGGGTAAGTCCATTTTCTTGTGTTGGACATTACAGTTTAAACTTCATAATGACTTCTACCAACACAGATGAACTTTCAAGATCATAACATTTCATACTGTCTCAAAATACTCCAATCAAATAGGCTACTGAAAAATATGTGATACTAGTCAATGTACAGCAATACCGGTATCCAACAGTCTGGTATTTGAGTGAGGGACAAAATCCATGGTCATTTCATCAACTGACAGAATGAAAAGTTTTAAAGTTAAAATTCGGTCCAATCATGCCTGGAGATAAGAATCATGCTACTTTTCTAGAAGTGCTTTAAAATTTGACAAACAGGGATTGACTTTAGGATGATTCAGGTGGTAAAAAGATACTAATTATTATTAATTTTATATTCCTATTAGAACAAGCCTGGTAGATAAACATTCCCCCTGACCTGCTTTCAATTAAGACAGAAATTGCACAATGTATAAAAGAACTATTATTGTATACACTGCATACTTTCAATTCTGAACTCTCTCTCCATATATACATTATTACACATTAGACTAACAAAATACATTTGTAGCTTCTGTTTTTTTTCTCTTTCTGGACATCTGGACAAACTTTCAGCAATCTGTACAAGTACAATGTATGTTCCACTGCTCACGCATCACTGGTAGAGCCAGAAATGTCTATAAAACAGCTAACGGACATTGGACATTCTCAAAAGTTCCTGACATTTTAAAAACATTTCTAAGAATGTCTTTCCCAGGTCTTTACAGGGTCTTTTTGGGGAGGACTTGTTTTCTATTGTTCATGAGGTGTCTGTCAGAATGTCTTAGTTTAGAAAAAAACTGTGAAAACTTGCATGCATATGAAAAGCACTGCACAAAGCCAAGACAATTCAGAGGGTGGGACTAAATTAATTAACAGACAGATGCTAATATCTTTATAAGTACGCATTGTGCTAAACAAAGGACTGTCTCCTAGGGGTGTCCCTACCTGACGTGTGAAGAGACTATGGATATAAAATGTCTCTATTAGGTTATTTCGATGTTGTTTTTCAGTAACTATGTCAGACTCTACTTAATGTTCTCCCAACTGGCCTTTGTTCAGCAACGTCTAAATCATATCTAATGTCCGCTAGCCGTTTTATAGACATTTTTGGCTATTCTCACCTGCATAATGAGACGTAAAAAATTTGGCTATTAAAGACTAATTTGTTGTGTTGGAAATAACAGTTCACACTTGTTTCATAATGATCAAAACTTTAACCAAGTTGAACAATTATGATGAATTTTGAAGATAACATGAATAAGTTCAGGAGCATTAGTAGGCATTACTCGCAACCTGGAGGACAGACCATCCTGGCTCTGATATCCTCTTATTTGGTGTTAACAAATTTCCCACCCGCCCAGCTCATGCAGTCATCACAAAGGTCGGCTGCCAGAAAAATCTAGGCTTGTGCCAACAGACTGCTGGGGCCAAAAGCTGACTGGTAGAGAATGGTCTACTATAATGGTCACTACTGGTTTGCACAGTCAACCATTTAGTACCTATGGTCCACTAGCCTGGAGTCCACCCTTGTTAGCTTTAGTCCGTTCCCCAAGACTGCTACCCCGGTGCGGACCAAAGCTAACAAGGCTGGACTCCAGGCTTATGGTCCATTGGTTAGAGATCCTACTTCTGGTCCAGGAGGTCAGGGATCCTGGCAGTTCTTACTCACCAGGTGCTGTCATCAGCTCATTGGCCGGCCTGGCCACGCCCTTCACACCTGGCACCTTCACATACTTGGGAAACAGGTTGTATATTTCCCTGCAGAAGGAAATGGAGGAAAAGGCCATTTGTCATAAAAGGATGTTTTCTGTAGCATTTTGTGTGTGTATCTGTCAACATGATACCACGAGTACGGGTGACGCACGAGCCCTGTACGTACTGGTACGTACTGTATACGTAAGCAGCACGTGTAAGTACAGCCTGCATACGTAAGCATACAGTAACATGACAACAGATCAGAGATAACATGTTATAAGCATGCACAACTCACTTTTAATTGCGCAATGAACGATGCACGCAACTGCTCACGGCCAGGCGTGGCATGCAGACCACCTTGCACAACCATGTGAGTGACATGCGTTGACCTTCTTCTGCTCTTGCCAGTCCTTCCCCACATTTTCATAAAAACGTGGCCTCCCAAAAAACTTTTTCCGACGTCTTCCCCATGTTTTTCTGTCTTTGTGGTAAAAAGATGAAACTGATCGATTGCCATGTTACCGTATGCAGGCTGTACTTGCACATGTGCTGCTTACATGTACGTATGGTACGTACCAGTACGTACAGGACATGTGCGTCGCCCATACTGTCTTGTACAGGGGGAGAATCTGCAGCCCAAACACAGAAAAAGTTTTGCATGTACATCATAAAGTGCATAAGGGTTTGTCTGTGTACTCTTTAATCTGTTGGATTCCGTACGGAGGTGCCCATGTTTTTGCACATAGACAGCACATACATGTACATGTAGTTGCACGTACATGTACGGTGGGCTGTGCCCCAAAATAAAACACTGCGCGAGTGTTTATATTCGCTAAAAAGAGAAACCCGAAAGATAGTTGTCAAATTATTTGCTTGCTGTATTGATAAATTCGCGGTAGAGAAGTGATAGCGATGAAAACCGTGAATATCAAAGTGCATCAAATCTATTGTGATTTTACTCTTACTGTAACTGTTACTAAAAAATTTACTGATGAATCGATGATTGACAAGTTGGTGACTGGTATTTTGACTGTTATAAATGACTGATAATTTATGATTTGTAAATTAATCTGTGAATGGTCGAGATGGGTTAGATGATGTACATGTAGTGTATATGTACATGTACATGCCATTGACCAGATGTCATGACCTGATTTGGTTTGATTAATTGAGCCAGATGCAGTCACCCGTCACTACCTCTGATAGTGCTTGAAATCGGTATATTCCAAGATGTATATGGTTGACCTACAACATCACAAACCAACATGACTGTGCCTAACACAAAACCTGTAAAAACACCTACACAGGTTCCTGTAGAGTCCCATTCAGCATGGCCGCCAGTTTTAAGCGTTGAGGGTCTCCCTGTTCAATTTGGAAGGAGTACTCATCACCAGCAAACTCTGAGGACCCTGTTGTTGGATCCCTGAAGCAAAACAGAAAATATGTCAGAACTCAAGTCTCTCATTGATAGAGCCAAAAATGTCTATGAAACGGCTAGCGGACATTGGACATTCTCGAAAATTCCGGACATTTTTCAAAAAACATTTCTAAGAATATCTTTCCACGGACTTTACAGGGTCTTTTTGGGGAGGTCTTGCTTGTTGTGCTTTTCATTGTTCACAAAGTGTCTGTCAGAATGTCTTTAGAAAAAACTGTGAAAACTCGCAAGCACTACACAAAGCCACTAGGCAATTTAGAGGGCGGGACGCAATTAATTAACGGACAGGCACTAATATCTTTATAAATATACATTGTGCTAAACAAAGGACTGTCTCCTAGGGGTGTCCCTACCTGACGTGTGAAGAGAGTATGGATATCTGAATGTCTATCTTGGGTTATAATATATATTTCGATGTCGTTTTTCAGTAACTATGTCTACTTAATGTTCTTCCGACTGGCCTTTGTTCAGCAATGTCTAACTCATATCCAATGTCCGCTAGCCGTTTTATAGACATTTTTGGCTCTACCAGTGTAGATGTACCACTGTATTTCTATTGTTCAGATACCAACGGATCAGAAGGACTGGCCTAGATAGATGCACGGATGACAACATGCTGAAGCAGGGGCCGTAATGCAATCTATTAAAATCAATCACAAAGTCGTGATTCATCAATTTCAATCAATAATATATATCATTGGGAAGTAACAGATCAGTAACTCATCACTGACAAATTAAAACAATAAAATTTACAAAAAATCTCTGAATATTTCATGAAGGTATGAGATCTTGGAACACTAATTTTCTAATTGTGTGGATTTTTTTAGGTAGTGCAACAACATTGTACAAAATGTAAACAATGCATGACCAAGAGCAGAATATTTTCTACATTAGGAATGCTCTCTGATTACTTTAAATGCATTTATTTCATGGGGGGTATACAAAATTAATGTATCTCACAGTAGGAGGAAAAGGAAGGTTAAGTGTTTAAAATTTGTGTTTGAAATGAATGAGAGTTTGACAATTTGCATTATGATCATAAAATTTAATTTGTGATTGGTATGTCACTGCAAAAATAAAGCCATCACAAATTAAAGTTTCTGTGCATATATATCTAGTGTGTGAAAAGAAACTGACCGTGTGAACTGCCACTCCACACGAACAGTAATGGGGTTGTTGGACAGTAGATCGTTCAGCATGGCATGTCTGCTGGGAGGGCTGATGCCCCAGATGGATCGAGAGTTCCCATCGATCTTGACTTTCACAATGTCCACCGCTTCATATCGCGACAAGAACGTCATCGCATTCTGAATTTCACAGAAAGTTTTTGTCAGTTTTACCAGTCAGAATTTTCTGTAAGCCTTCAATATACAATGATTGTATAATGAGCATTACTGAAAGAACTTGATACGACGTAGAGCAATCTTTGATCCCCTGTAGAAAAAACTTCATAAAGCATTACACTATGTCATTATTTGAGGTTAGGGACTGTGATAAATTCATTGTAAGTGTGGAATAATACATGTATACATTCAAGTACATCATCACAGGGTTAGTATTTCTAATCATTGTACTAACAGTATAATTATAATGATTTTAAACATGTTTCTCAATTCAGCCAAGGAGGTTTAACATTTTTAAACTTCAATGATTCTCCATGTGTTAGCCATCTGGCATGACTTTGCAATTATAGAACATGTCATGCCTTTATGCTAGAAGTTTGCAATATTGGCATTAGTACACTGTACATATACTGTACTGTAGTTTGAAGTGATAACTGTGCTGCTTGTACCACATACAGTGTCTGATATGATGGACAGTCATGGAACCACTGTACATGTGTGCACAATTACCCAAAACTTGGTTCTCATGATCAGTTTGATGCACAGCCATGAGTCCCATGCCTTTGTTAGCTCCATTCTAAACACTGACACTCTTGTAGGAGTTACAGGGACATTGTAAGGCCACACCAATTTAATTTCAAATTGTTGTTTCTCTGATTTTTTTCAGAAAAACTATGAAGCGACAGGGCGAAAAAAAAAGGCCAATTGAAGGCACCCCATAATAGCCAGAAATGTTACGATATGAGCCATGAAGTGAACATACCAGGCTGGTTTATAATCAAAACAATAGGTTTTGAACTTTTAATGAAATGAAGTTGCATTGTTACATTGAAAACTTTAACAATTAGGAAGAAAAGGACTTTCTTCAACCATTGGGGCCAAAATATGTCTTTCATTGTCCATTTTGCAGTTGATTCAGAACCTCAAATCTTTTTTGCAAATCAGAAAAAAATGGACTGGGTGAATCCGAGAAACAACAAATTAAATTGGTGTGGCCTAAACTGTACTTCCAAGACCAAAGAGACCACTCATCATGTAAACAAGGGTCATGGCTGTGCCAATCAATGATTTATCAATTATTTATAAGTAGGATTTGCAGAATTTGGAGTTTCATTAATTTATTAACCAGAGGATGGAACCACACACCTGCCAGGCATATTATATTTCACTGTGATAGCTTAAGGACAATTTCAGCTAACATCTGTGTCCATAATATCACCAGGGTCCATAATATCGCCACCTTGAGAAATAGTGTATAACTTCGTAT